AGAACAATTTAATACTACTATATGAATATATGAAGTTGTTGTGATGGTGGTTTTCTGCTAACAGTCCTCTGAGAATCAGAGTTTGAGGTGTTCAGGAGTTAAAAATCAAAGGTTGCCAGTGAATGTTTTTATTTCAAAAAAAAAGTTGTAAGCGTGATAGAGACACTGCTGACAAGACCACCTGCCATGCCCTCAAGTCTGTGGCAGAAATCTGGTTGATCATAGATAGAAATCCAGACTTTGATGATAAAGAACATTACTTGATTATTCCCCCTGTCCTACTTGGGTTTTTTTGTAGCTCAGTAAGATGGGCAGATCCACGTAAGACATAATATGAAATTCTCTACAGGCAGCGAATGCCTTTGACCTCCTTATGGCTTCCGGTGAGGCTCCGTTTTAGGACGTGACTGATTGTGCAGGACAAGAGTCTTGCAGGAGCTGAGGGGCCAACTCGTAGTGTTCATCCTGGTGCTGTCCACAGGCCTGACGAGGTTAGCACCTACTATTGCCAGAATGGCTGGCGTGTGCAGCTGCCAGTCTTCCTAAAACTGAGTGTTGTTTACTGTGGTTTATAGCATGTCAGGGAAGATCAGTTTTTGTAAAGAGTGTGTACACCTAGCTCACTCAGGTGTCATATCTGTTTGCCACACGCTGAGGTTGGTTAGCTTAAGCACATTGTAGGTACACAAAAACCTGGTACCTGAGTAGCAGTCTCTTGCTCTGACTTGGTGACTTTTTATTCCTCTTACACTTAGGGTATGTGAAAACTTTCAAGACTCTGGGTTTTTTGGTACCTACAGACTAGCTTACTTTTTATTTGCATACAGCCCATATGCCCCCTTGCTCCGAAGACTTACACAGCAAGCCTTGCAATTTCATTTGAATCAGGAGATGGGATTGTTGTGTCCAAGAGCTTTTTTCACTATTACTCTTTGACTGTCTCATCTGAGTGTTTGGCTTGCATGTTGTTAGTGTGCCTGTTGAACAAACTTGCTGGTGTTGGTGATCTGTAGAAGTTCTACGTGCTAAATATAAACAACTGTTTTTACTCACTGTGTGCATAGCGTTTTGTTGAAGAAGTGGACCCAGATGACTGGTACAGCCTTGTGAAAACAGGACTTAAGTAAGTAATTTTGTGATGCACCAAAGGGTCTGTAGGAGGTGTGGTTCTGTTCACTTGGCCTTGTCCTGCATTTTACTGGAAACACCCTGTCTCCTATGAGTTCAATCAAATTTGACAGTCCTCCTTGTTTCTCAAGGTGTGCTTTATGTCACATCCACTGGCTTCATTGGAACCTGAACCTGCACAACTGCAGGCAGATTTGGATTTTGTGCTCCAGTTAGCATAGCTAACATAGCTAACTAGATAGCTGGACTAGTTTATTTTCAATCAGCATAAACAAGCTTTATGCTCCTGTAACTTCTTTTTATTTGAGGTATTTTTTAAATACAATTCATATGAAAACAGAATCAGACCTTTCACATTTAAATAGAAGAAATAAAAATAGTTTAGGATAATCTTGGCTTCTGTGGAGGTACAAGTGTTCATCTGAAGGGTTGCTGTCTGAAGGGTTAGTAGGTAAAATCCTAATCCTTTATTGAGATCAGTGCAGCTACTAGTGTGACTGTGTGTTGGTTCTCTTTTCCTTTTTATAATTAAGATACCAGTATAGCTTAAAAAACTCCCAAACAACAACTCAGGGGAAGAGGTTCATGTGTTTTCATTTTTTTAAAATTTGTTTTGGTTCCACTAAGCTTGCTTTCTTTGCAAAGTTCTCATGTCTTAAACAGATTCTTTTCAAACAGCTTTCCTTTTGGTTGAGATCTGACTTTTCTGTGATCCGTACTTCTAAAGGTACCGCTACAGAGATGAAGAATTTTTGAAAGTCCTGAACATTGCTATTCAGTTATTATACAAGAAAGAATCCTCGCTTAGTCAGAGATTAGTCAAGCTCTCCAAACTTCACATGATGGTCACGCAGCACTCTCTATTTTTGTCAGCCATACTGAGGTCAAGAGAAGAAGATGGCACAAACATCCAGACAAGAGGTACTTTTTTAATCTTTTTCTTTCCTTTAACTATATATAGTACTCTTGTCTTTCTTGCATTGTATTCTATCCATCCAGTAACCTACCCACCTACATGTACTTGCAGAGCTATTAAACAATTGCAGAATATTGACATTTAATTTTGAATTCTACCTCTATTTGGATCCAAATGTTGCATTCATTTTATAGCTGCCAGTTTTAAAAACTTGTGTTTTCTAAAACTACTGTTCATTTGTTTGTACTTTGACCTGTGGAAATCTTGAATCGATTCTTTTGGTTTCTGTGAGGCTGTTAGCCTAAGATCACTGAGGTGCATATAGGTTCTGTCAGAAACGTGCATGACGTTCAAACCTATTTTAAAATAAGTTGATACAGAAGATTTTAAGTTATTTTTGCAAGTTGTATCAAAAACGTGAATTTAATCAATGTGTATTTGATATTGCAACCTTTCACGAGGAATATCCTTCCATAAGTAATATAAATTGGATGCTAGTTCATGTGTAGGATTGGCTTTGTTTCTGCATCTCTGCCAACGGAAATACTACCTGACGTTAAACCAATCATTTAATCTACGTACACCTCAGCTTTTTCCCCCTCTACAGGGCTTTGAGATTCAGTGATTGAAGGAGCCATATAAGAAAAGGGGAGGAAATTCTCAGGGCAGCATGTTGATAACAAATTTTGTGTGTATCGGTGAGCAACATGTAAACAAACGTTGAAGTTTTAAATCATCTGGAAAGAGCAAAATGCTCTTGTGAAGTCACAAATTTAGTGAAATTAAAAATAAGCAAAAGACTTCGCTGCATACTGTATGTGGTTTACCTTTTTAATGTATTTCTGTAGAGCAGCAAGATGGATTCAAGACTAACTTCACAATTTAGAGACTTGGTGTCACGAGTGCGTTCATTCAGGCTGTTGTCTTTATGATCTGTTTTGTTTTGACATACATTTTATATTCCTGTAGATACTAGGGCAAAAAGCCCGTGCCTTTTCAGATACTGAGAGTAAAGAAATCTGGATTCAGGTCTTGAATCTACCACAGATACCCTACTTGCCTTTGAGTAACCTGATCACTTATTTGATTTGTTTCTCAACTAGTTATAAAATAAAAGTGGATAATTTTTGTACCCCCTGGGACAGAGTTCCTGTAGCTTGCTAACTAATTGGATTCAGCAGGGATGACCCCTGTTTAAATGCACAGTGTAGAAGTATTTTGATAAGTTACTGTAGCTGGGGTGTGAGCTTACAAGTTCTTGCTGTAACTTCTTGAGTAGTTTGGGGATGTCTACCTTTACTCTGTGCAACTCCTGAGCTAATTTAACATAGAATCCTGGGAGAGGAAGGAGCTGTGGTGTGGTAGGATAGGGTATAGCACTTCTTTTTAACCAGAGAGCAAATGTGTACTCATGGAAAGTTTCTGCAGGGTAGTATGCCACATTGTGGACCTCACCTCACAGAAACATTTGTGTGTCCAGCTTGAAAATACTGTTTTAAATTCTTAAAAAAAAGTTGTTCCGCTTGAATTAACTCCATTGTAATCATTCTTTGGTGTAGTCAGGGAAGTGGTTTTTGGTATTTATAGAGATAGATCTTGATCTAAAATGTACAGTACTCTGTGTGCATCTGTTTAGGGAGAGTATATATGTGTGTGGGTATTTATATATGCACTGAGAGAGCAACAAAGCTAAAGCTGTGTGTTTATTTCAGAGGCCTTGGTGGATATACTGCTGACAGTTGTGAAACTCAACCCTTCTCTCTGTGAGAGCAGTCACCTTGCTGTGTTGCTGGGTGCCTACGGGGCTACACTGAGTGCTGTAGGTGAGTGTGTTAGCCTGGGAAGGGTACTTTCTACTAGATCTGGTTTTCATCTTCATAGGTGGCTGACTTTGGATTTAAACTTGTTTTTTAGATCAGAAGATACTGATACTGCTTCAGTTGTATGAGCAGAATAATCAAAGTCTTATAAATTCCAGGTAAGCTGACCATCTTCTTCTGTTCGACTAACTACACGCAAATAAGCAGTCTCGCAATTGTTATTTTTCCAGAGTCTTAATTTTTAACTGAGATAAGCAGTGAGCAAGGTCACAGAATCACAGAATGTTAGGGATTGGAAGGGACCTCAAAGGATCATCTAGTCCAATCTCCCTGCCTGAGCAGGACCACCTAGATCAGATCAAACAAGAACGCATCCAGGCGGGTTTTGAACATCTCCAGAGAAGGAGGCTCCACAACCTCTCTGTGCAGCCTGTTCCAGTGTTCTGTTACCCTTACTGGGAAGAAGTTCTTCCTCATGTTTAAGCGGAACCTCCTATGTTCCAGCTTATATCCATTTCCCCTTGTCCTATCATTGGATGCCACTGAGAAGAGCCTGGCAAAACTTCTGGTCAAACCTAGAAGTGAATGTTGCTTTTGGAAATGTTTTTCCTATGTATTTCTTGTTCTTAACATAATTCTTGTGCCTTGGCCCAGATTTGAGTGTCTGTCGGTTAGGTGAGGGACCGTCTCGTTTCAGTAGTCCCTCACTCTCCATAGTAAGAACCCACAATAGGGATTTCATCACAGATGAAGGCCAAAACGCAAGTTGCTAGTGTAGGACTCCTTCCCCTTCCCTGTTCCCTTGGGATGCAGGATTTGCCCCTCAGCACAGCCCTTGCTCTTTTCTATGATATTGCCCCTGTATGCATGATATTCGGCTCTAGTGCTTTGCTGGAGAGGGGAGGAATATGCCAGTGGAAGAGTGATGTATCACCTCTTGCATTAACACACGTATTGTTGGTTTTGGGGTACTAACATGGTATCCATGCCTTCCTTGTCTTTCACCAATCTGGACTGTAGCTCTCCTTATAGCTCAACCTTGCAACACTATCTACATGCTTCATAAGAGAAAGCCATGTATTGTTAAAATAATCAGTTTCTTTGGAGGCCCTGTGCTCAAGCAGTCCACAGGGAAGTCTGTTGCTAACAGTTAGTTCTTACGTGCGCAGATGGTTTTGGTCTACCTTGCTTAAATGCACTTTTCTGCCGTTCAGATATGGGCACGAATATTAACAGCAATGCGAAAGTACTGGCTCAGGCAGTTGGAGCAGGACTGGATTCTGAAATATGACCTGCCTTAGCTTGGTCTGAGAATATAGATAATCCTGTGAAGGGGGAGAGGAAATGAAGGTTCTTGTTAGCGGGGAATTGAAGTGGCTTCCAGAAGCCAGGGCTCTGGCACTAGCCTCATCCTGCATAAATCTTTACTGAAAGTGTATGCGTATGGGAGGGTGTTAGGTGAGGAGGAGACTGATTTCAGAGGTACTTAGGTCCCCAAACTTTTGTAGCCTTTTTAAAGGAGGAACAATTTCAGACTGTACCTTGAAGTGAGTTTGTAGCCAGACACTTGGTTAGACTTGATTCCCGCACTGAAGGGTTCAAGTGAATCTAGAGAACATTCAGGGAAGGTGCTGTATGTGCAGCCCATCAGAGCCCAACTTGTGTTATAAACTGGGACCCTTCAGGCTCTGGGTGATAAGAAGCCTAACACTGTCCCTCCAGCTGCCTCACTGATGGTGAGGCATGCTGCTGGCAGTGCCCGCATAATAAATTACAATATCAGTAGCACTTTAAGCACAATGGCAAAGTAAGGGGGGTCTAAGGAGCAACTCAGAGGAGGAGAGTAAGGATTTGTGTTTTACTGAACCACTGTGATACTGGTTTGAAATATCGATTGCGTTTGAGACAACCGTGTCTGACCAGATCTTGGTCACTGTCTCTTCATGCAGCTGCTGTCATACTTAGCTGCATTATAGCTTAAATAAAAAAGTTTTTTTCTGAGAAGGTAAGTTCTAACTTGGATTAACAGGGTAGGAAGTAGTTAATGAGACACCCTCAGACTGAATTTGAAAAGCTTTTGGATGGATGAAAAAGGTGTTGCCAGGGAAACGAGTTCTAGTTTCAAGTTCCCACAGGATAATAAGTACAAGTGAAGGGAAAATTTAAATACTAGTTTATATCCTCTGAAATTGCTTTTCACTCAGTGCTAGCAGTCTGTTGACTAATGCCTTTACTTGTAACGATGTTTAAGAATCCTGCTATGGGGTCCAGCCGCCGTGGAGCATCACAAGACTTGCAAGAGTCTAGGGAAGTCACTATGGCAGCAGCCAACCATGGAGGAGATTCTGTGTCTGCTAGATCGAGAAAAGATGATGAAGACAATTCTGTCGTTCCCTCAGCATCGCCGTCTTCTGTCATCACAGGTGCTTTGGTTCAGACTGCTGAATTATCCTTTTGATTTAGAAAAAGGGCCTTTCACTTTAGTCATTTCTTTCTTGAATTCATGTAATACATTGCAATTTGTTTACATCAGCAGAGTAATTTAAATTCATAGGAGGTTTGGAATTAATTATTTAGGAGCACTTTTCAAATGAATTGCAATCTGTGGACTACATCTTGTCAGCAGGTGTGATTGTGCAGCATTGTGAAGATTGCCATGTATAAGTGAGACCAGAACTTGACTTTTAAACTGTTTTTAACTGTGCAAGTATCCACTAACAACGGGCTCTTCAGTCTTTCATGCATGTTTGCTAATATGCTTCTATACCTGTTTGCACTAGTCAGGGGAAGTAGTTTTGGAACCCTGATAGTGAAAGCCAGATTTAAACACAAGCATGTCTCGCCCTGTGTTGCATTATATTTGGCGAGGTTTCATCTCGGCTGCTTTATAATGGGATGAGGTGGTTGGGGAAGTTTGAAATCAAGCTGGAAATTGGTGTTATGTACAAATACTTACAAGTACTGGTTTGGATTTGATTTCAGGAGGTACAAGAGTCACTATACAGAGATGAAAGCGTCAAGAGTCTTGATGACTTCTACGATCCTTGTTTTCTTCTTCAGCTCTTTAGTGAACTGACCAGACCAGGTAAAGTGAATATTTCTCTTTGATATTTAGTGTCATTTTACTGTGCTGTGGGAGCTGCATGGCTCCATCTGTAGCTCTGTGATTCTCGAGCTAAGAGCTGATGCTACAAAAAAATTTGTGCCTGGCTTTGGAGAGAAGAAGCACACATCATTTAACCACCTACTGCATTGCTTTGTAATTTTCAGAAATGACTTTAGAAGTATCAAGGTAAAATTGGCATTAAAGGTTTGTTGGTTTTTTTTTAAAGCACTTTTCCAAATAATTGCAATATATCTAGTGAGATTTGGTTACTTGGAAATAGAGCAATGTAGCAGCAGACGGGCATTGCTGCCAAGCTGCTCTTGTCCAGATGACTAGGTGCTCCCTCATAGCTCTTTTAAATGTAGTGAGTTAACCCTGTGTAGAGAGACTGATCTGCTTAAGAGGGGGAGAGGTTTTTAAACTGGAACTGGAAACAGCTTGGAAGAGACAAAAAGCAGGCAAAGATTTATGTTCTCTGATCTGTCAGACAGCATTCTGTATATCACAAAAAACAGCACAATGTAATTTTAAAATAGCATAATGGTGATCAGTAGAGAATATTCCCCACTGGAAGTTGTATTTTTTTTCTGGTGAATATGTAGAGCTGTATTCTGCATCAGCTATGGTGTCACAGCAACGCAGTGGGCAAAACAGGCATGGGTGGGATGGTGCCTTCTGCTGCTACACGCAGTGCCCCACCTGCAGCTGATAGGACTGCTCTGATCTGGGACTGCTTTGTGGCTGAGTTTTGGGGAGTAGTAAGAGGCTCCTTTCAGCTATGCTCTCAGTGGGAGCTGGGCAGAGGTAGGACATGTTGGCGAACATGCCCTGTGATGCTGGAGGAGTTCTCCAGGCATAAACCAGAAGCCATCATTGCTGGGGAAGGGTGAAGTTTGTATCTGACCATAGTGACTCTGCAGGAGTACTGATTTCTGTGAGAGACACTGTGACTGTGTTGACTGGAGATCTGTCCTGTTACAGGCTGTGGTTATGGTATAGGGAAACTTCAGCCAACTCATTTCTCATCAGACAGAGACGCACGGGGCCATTGTATGGCATGAATAGGCCTGTGCTCAGAGTTGTTGGAAAGTTTGATGAGATCTACGTGGTGCTTGAAAACTAGTTGCTTAAACTCACTTTTCTTGTTTGATGTGACCCTGCTTTGCATATACATATCCCTGCTGTACTTCACCAGCACACTGGCTATTTAGAGAGTCCTTAAAGATCAGAGTGAGATAAGTATCGTGAGGAATTTCCTAACCAGCTCCCTCCCCATGTTGATTATGGTTAACCACTGGATAGTTACAGCTGGGTTTGGCTTTCCACAACAATAATATCAGAATCAATTGGCAGGCTCTTAACTGTCTTTCAGGGAAATCGTATTTACAGTCCTTCTTTGTTCACCTCTGCCCTTATAGTACAGTACCTGTTTTGTGTGTCCTTAGCCTACACTTAGCTGTAGTTGTAAACCACTCTGTATAATTTTGACAGCAGTAAAAAGAACTGTCTTTTAGTTTACTGAGGAAAAAAAGATACTAGAACTATTCGACATTTTGCAGGATGATGGATCTTAGACGATCCAGTTAATGCTGGGTCTTCGGGATTGTGGTTGATGAAGAGCATGGACGGCCAGTGTGTGTTGAACCCGGGTGTAATAGTTGGGAAAAGCACTGCTGTCATGGACCTCTCATCATCACCCACCACCTGGAGGCCACCACTTCAACTGGTGGGAGAGATGTGGTGGCTGTTGGTCAGCCTCAGCAGCACTACAGTCAGCCAGCGAGGACAACTGCGTGCTTGGGAAGCAGTGGGGTTGAGGGAGCTCTTGCACATCGTGTTCTTGCAGAGCTGTGCAGGCAGTGGCTATCCTGACATAGGCTGACTCTAAAACTGGAGAGGGGAAAAATAGTTCTCTTAACTGCTCCACGCTGAGTGAGAGTCTGTGTCCTAAGAGGGGCATTTTTAAAGGGCCCAAGTGATTTATGAGTTCACGTCCCATGGTGCTCTTAAACCACGTCAGCTACTCTCGGAATTCCCAGTTCCTTTTTATTTATTTGCTCTTTGTACTGGCTGCACAGTGCCCTGTGCACAGATGTTATATAACTGCTGAATTTATAAACTTAGACTTATTGCACAGTCTTTAATGCTCCCTGAGTAAAACGTAAGTCTGGAGTTGGGCAGATAGCAAGTTGTGTCTAACTTTAGCTCTGATAAGCATCTTGTGGAAAGCTTTTCCATCATGGTTCTCAAGGTACTGTAGGCAAATGGGATGTCAGACATAGAATTAATTTATTTTTTTTTAATAATAGCTTGTTATTTTATGTTAGTTGTTGAACGCACTCTCCAAGGTCAGCTGGATGGAAAATATTTTCACTGCATGTTTTCAGTGAAATAAAGTTTTCCAAATAAATCTTTCTGTGAGCAGCATGAACTTTACTGCTGAAGTGAGGACTTTGGATTTCACTGTGTGGTACCACCCCATAAAATTATGCACTTTGGCTGTCTAGTTGGTGTACATTAGTAGTTCTCAAGAACTGCAGTCTGCAGGAGAGCCATGTCGTGCCTTGCTGTGAAAGAGCATACAACATGTATTTGAGCCTGTACTGAAGAGAGGTTGTTGTATAGGCCAGGGCTGTGTGTGAGGTGTCTGTAAGCGATGGAGAATCCTGTGTAGGCAGACGAGTTTTGGATCACCTTTGTATGTTCACTTGGAATTCAACAGAAAGTGTCCATTCCCAGTGGTTACCTTGCATCTTGCCTGAAGAGTGGGAAGTGCAGTGTTGCTTTGCCACAGGCAGAAGGTGGCAGAAGGTAGCAGAAGGCATAGATTAGGTGTCTCTCTGGGCTCTGCTTCTCTTTCTCCTGCCCTGTGGTTGCACACTCCTTTCTCACTTTCCTGTTGACAGTCAGGTGGTGGTCTGGCCCCCTGCCTGGAAGTTAGAGGGAGATAGAGCTCCATCTGTATGAGCTCTCGTGAGGTGAGAGGTATCTCATGCTAACAAACAAGGGAACTTTTTGCTCACTAGGAGAATGACTGGGGTGTTTTGAATTACACCAGTTAAACTTGATGTGCTTTGGTGAGGAGTTGTGTAAACAGTAATTTCTAGGATTGAAATAACTTGTAAAACCACTCACTGAAAAGATCTGTTCCTGCAATTCACTGGTGCCTTTGCACTGGTCACGTAGGAGTGGGCTGGTTGGGGGGCAGTGCTGGGAGGTGGAGACCCTGGCCCAAAACTAGCAGAGCTGGATGTGAAACTGCCAGGCATAAAATTGAAGTAGGAGTTCTGACAGTTGAGGAAAAGATGAAGCAGCTCAGCTGCAGGGACATAAATAATCTGTGATTTTTACATAAATATATATAAAATGTATATATATTTTAGTGGGGGGGGAGGGAGAGGAAATCAGTGGACCAAAATATAGATACTTGTCAGTACGACTACAGCCTTTTCTTAAATAGGAATTTATGTTTCTCAGAAACTTCCTCTTGACCTTCAGTGTGAATTACTAGAAAATATGTGAATATTTTTGCTAAACTCAGAACTGCAATATATTTGCACTTTAGCTGGTAAAATACAGCTGAAGTGCCATTGTATTCCATTACTGGCGAATGGAACAGAAATAGCACAGGAGTTATTCTGGAGGTTTTACATCAAGTCATTTCTAGCCATCAGTGGGTAGAAATGGCACAGGCTCTTCACAACACACAGCCTTTAAATGAGAACCTCTAAATCCTGGTGGTAAGATGCCGTGGAAGATAAATGTTAAGATTTGAGGGTGTGTTTTCTGTTTGGCTGGTTACTCTTCATTGCTGGATTTTGTTTGTCCCAGATTTTTGTCCCAGAAGGGCATAGGGGCGCAGTTTAGTACTTTGGTTGGAACATGTCTTACCAGCAGAATTGCTTATGCCTGCATGATACCAGTTGGTTATTTTATCATGGCTAATGACTTATTTATATATTTTCTCCTGTCCCTTTGATTACAGAAGCTCTTTAGTGCAGATGGGCTTTTCATTGGCTATGCTGATCTTTCAGGCACAGACTTACCAAGTGCCTAGAAAGTGTTTTGAGGAGGAGAATTTTCCCTCTTGTTCTCCCTTGTACTTAACTTTCCTGAAACAGTGACTTTGCCTGGTCTAGCAGGAAGAGTCATCTCCCGCTTCTGTAAGTGAGACTAACCACATTAATTTCAGCTGAGGTAAAGAATTCCTGTTCAGAGTGATTTGCAGGATGCCTTCAGCAGGCAGTGAAGTAATGGTTTGTAGGAGTAGATCTGGAAATTGATGTTTATGAATAGAAGTTTTGTTAAGGATTATGGTGCTGTTATAAACTCTGTAACATGTGGATATGATGCACTGGGTGTTTTTTTTGTTTTTTTTTTTTTCCCCCTCTTCCCACACAGAGTGTGTAGTGGCGTGTCACAAGTTTGTTGAAGTCAACGGCCTTGGTCTAACAGTAGCTGCCCTTAGCAGCTATGATTCCAACATGAGAGCAGCCGCGTATTTTGTCCTGGCTTCCTTTCGTTCTCATCTGGAAGGAGCTCGCTTTCGAGAGAAGAGTCAGGTAAGGCTGAGCTCAGTTGATAGTTTGCCAGGTTTGACATTTTAGGTCATAGACACTTACGGAAGAACCACTGCTTTACTCATCTGTCTATATGCACATGGTGAGGGAGCTGAAAGAAGTTTTTTATCCTCTATTCTATTGTTTCTCTTCTGTTGCTTTGTGTTTCCTCCTGGTATAATCAATGAGCAGAAAAAGGTATTTTAGAAATTCTCTATGAAATTTATTTGCAGGAATGGAAATCCTGGTGGGATTGGTATTTATGGCCTGTGATATACCCTAAAAGCTTATTTATGTATTCATGCTCTCCTGTTATATTTGTTTGGGTTATGGTTCAAGCTTTTATACCCTGAACTCTTGTGCTGCAGTTGCTGTACCTCTTGGATGCTGTGCAAAATGGAATCAGGCAGCCGAACCTCAGATTTACCTTCTCTTTGACTCTCTACATTGCTCGTGTGGCACAGCAGATTCTGAAGCCAGGTACTGTAACCTCCTGGCTTAAGCACGTTGAACTCCTTGGGTGTTAAACAGGAGAGGGTCACTGTGCATGGAGTGATGTCCTTGAGCGATACTTGAGGATGAGATAGCTGTGACACTGGTAGGAGCCATGAAGTATGCTTTCCAGTGGTTCAAAGAAAAACTTTCAGTGCTTGTGTAGCTTGCCTTACTGGAGAAGTGGGAAGTGCCATTTTGATTCGTTTACAAAACCAGTCTGATCCATCAGGGATTAAGCCACTACCTCCTCATAATTTTGGAGTGGAGGTGGGCAGAGGACTAGATGAGTGTGTGGGTCCTGTTCAGCAAATCAGAGTAGGTTGTTCTTTTGTCCCTAGTCACTGAATCAGTATAAGTCACTGTTGCAAAGGACAGTCATAGCATCAGAGAGTAGTTCAGGTTGGAAGGGACCTTGTGAGGACTCTAGCTAAACGCTCTGCCCAAAGCAGGGCCAGCTATGAGGGCAGGCCACTTTGCTGAGGGCTTCATCCTAGAACCTCCAGACCTCTAGGCTGATCCTAGAAAGCCTCCAAGGATGGAGATTCTACAGACGCCCTGGACAACCTGTTCCACTGCTCACGGGTGACATGCCTGGTCTGTAGGTTAAAAATGATGATTGCCTAATGTGAAGTGTTAGGCTTGAAACATGGAGAGATTGGCTTCTCACTTTGCCGCAGATTTCTGTTTTGTTGATGAAGTAATGTTGGATTTGCTGAAATCAGAGCCATGTTGAATGTTTATCTTCTCACCTGCTCTGTGCACACTCTGAATGAGCCTTTCATTGTGGGGAAGAGGGGAGGAGGGATGACCGGCAGTATAATCAGCCTTAGAGCTGAAGGCCACCTTCTGCAATTAATGTAGTGTTCTGACAGCTAGCTGAAATACTGGAAAATACAGGTTCCATTTATTTTTCTGCGTGGTTTTGTATTGTGAACGTTGTCCTCCTCCACAATAATCATTGTTTCTCTTTACAGAGGAGCACATGTATATAAAGGTAAACAGATTCCTTCTGTCACACCAGTATTTGGACCTGAGGAAAGTACCAGGGTTTTTCCAGCTTTTCTACAGTTTTGATTTTGAGGTAATGTAAGAATCTGTCGTGGGTTAGGTTGAACCCCCCCCACACACACACAGCCGGTCCCTCCCCCTCCCCCACCCCCAGGGATGAGGGAGAGAATT